ATAGGTAAGTAGCTTTGTAGGAGTGTAACCAAGTCACATCTGGGACTTTTACCCTTTTCAAAACTTTCAAGAAGTCATCTTTCTCTTTTAAAATCATTGAGAGGCAAGGTGGAGACAAATATGTCTTATTGAAACTGATCTTTTGTGGGTGAAGTTCACGTCTTATACCCATCTCTTGTAAGTCAATAGGTGCCTTCAAGTTATCCTTTGTCTTCCCATCTAAATTCAACAATGTTCCATATACATTATCAATCACATTTTTCTCTATATGCATCACATCAAGATTGTGACGCAATTTTTTATTTGCCCAATATGGCAATGTAAAAAATATACTTCTTTTCTTCCATGGTTGTATCTCATCACCATTTGCTTGTTTCTTTCTTTTTTTGTTTTTTTCATTTGCCTTTGTCTTCCCAAATTTGTAATCAAGGTCTTCTGTTTGCATATCTCAAAGCCAGATAGCATATTAGGAGCTGGTTCTATTTCTTGTTTGCCATCAAATGACGCTCTATCTTTACAAAATCTATGATCTTTATCCAAGAAATGCCTATGGCCCATAAAACAATATTTTCCTCCATGTTTTAACCATCGAGAATGAGTCTCATAATTACAAGAAGGACATGCAACAGCACCCTTAGTATTCCAACCAGGAAAATCACCATATGTGGGAAAGTCATTTATAGTCCACATTAGAGCTGAACGTATTTGAAAGTTCTCTTTGGAAGAAATATAATAAGTTTGTACTCCAACATCCCATAATCCCTTCAATTCTTCAACTAAAGGCTACATATGCACATCTATGTCATTTGAAGGGGAGCTCGGACTAGGAATAAGCAATGATAGGATGAAAAAAGATCTTTTCATGCACATCCATGGAGGCAAATTATATGGGACCAATATGACCGGCCATATACTGTAACTAGTACTTATATTCCTATAAGCGTTGAATCCATCTGATGCCAACCCCAACCTGACATTACAGAAGTGAAAGGAAAAATCTACATATCGAGAGTCGAATATTTTCCACGTCATAGAATTGGTAGGGTGCCTCATTATGCCATCATTTGTACGACCTTCAGCATGCCATTTCATAAAAGCAGCTGTTTTTGAAGACATGAACAACCTCTGTAATCTAGGCTTCGAGGGAAACCACCGTAAAACTTTTGCAGCCTTTTTCTTTCTCTTTTTAGATGAAGTACTCATATTATGCTCCAAATCATTCTCATTTGTTGCCCACCTTGAAGCACAACAATGGCACACTTCATCATTTGCATGTTCCTTCCAAAATAACATAGAATCATTAGGAAGAGCATGAATCTTTTCATAACCAAGACCCAAATCTTTAATAATCTTCTTGGCATCATAAGAGTCTTTCGGCAAGTTTGTATCTAAAGAAAGCATATCTTTCAAAATTTGAAGCAACTTGTAAATGAGTGGTTGCTCCATCCATTAAGACATTTCAAGTGATACAGATGCACAATCGCTGACAACTTGCTAAAATTCTTGCACCCTTCATACAAATGCTTCTCAGCATCTTCGAGTAAGTCGTAAAATTTTTGTGCATCTTCGTTAGGATCTTCTTGAGCTCGTTGCACGCTTGGACCTTGATCAGAGGGTTCTGGTAAATTACTTTCTTTTGCATATTCATCCATATTTCGAGTGTGCATGGGAAACACGTCCCGCAACATGTCACGTATATCACCATACTTAGGTCGTATTTCTTCAACATGGCTTTGACTAGTTCTACTAGAAGTCGTTGCAGACATAATTTCCCCGTGATGATACCAATAATTATAACCTGGACTAATTCCATAGGATACCAAGTGATCATGTACAACTTCTACAGTCAACATGTATGAATTCACACATTTCATACATGGACATGGAATTGTTCCATCATTAGATACATTGCGAGAAGCAAACTCCAAAAATTCTTTAATCCCTTGCACATAATCTCTTGACAATCTACTCTTCTTCATCCAACTCTTATCCATTGATTGATAATTAACTAAATTGAAGTACCACGAAACAAAATAAAAAGTCAAATATATTATATAAAAAGTTATCTATACTAACATAAAAAACACTACACAACTTAGGGTAAGTGCACATAGTAGAATTATTTTTATATGACTTTCTTTATATATCTTTTCCTAAAATTGAACTATTTTATATTTATACGTTTCATTTTATTTTTATTTTTTTCTTGGATTTCATTTTCACAATTTATGTAACATTTTAATTTTTATGAGTTATGATTTTTTACTATGCCGACCCCATTTCATAGGACTTAGGACTTAGTTTGGGTATTTGCTTTATGGTTGCTAAACTAATTAAAAGGGCGGAATATTTCAAAGTTTTTATGTTGATGATAAATCTTCTTTAATGGTCTTTGGATTCAACAAACAAAAGGGCATACATGAATGTTGAATTTCCTTAAATCACATTATTAGGCGAGCAAAACATTACAAGTATACTATGCATTAAATTCATGGACAACAATTTTCTCGAAAAAAAAAAAAAAAAAGCAATGAAGGAATGCATTAGTCAAAGAAGCATGAGGTTCAGTTGTGAACCTAAAGACAATACTATGATTGGCTAATTCAGAACCATTGAAACAAGCTAATTAGTTAAGGGAATATGCTCAAATTTTATTTTGGTATTGCAGGTATGCAATAATTTTATTTTGGTTGGCTTATTTTGGAAGCATAGGACCGACTGGGTTTTTATAGCTTCTTGATAATTACCAAAACTTATGGGAACATGTAATACATGACTGTTGATTAATAATAACTAAACTTTATGTTGACATCCAGCTGACCACTTTATGAGGAAGAAGAACCTGCATGATCCTTTTCCTTATATTTACCCCCTTCCAGTGTAACTTTTGTGAGATTGGGTGATATGGTAGATGAGCAAATGGATTTATGATTGGGGTTGATCACACTTTTTATTTTTCTTACTTCCCTCCCCCCCCCCTTTTCACTCCTACAATAGCATTTCCATTTTTCTGATTTGTCTTCTTTCTTTCTTTTTTTAAATATATATTTTATTTTTAAATGTATTATTCTAGATACAGAATCTGTTAAAGCAGCTAGAAGGAAGCTAAAAGAAACCATTTCCTCAATTCTGTTTGACATGAATGTCCCTACTATTTGTGCTATCAATCAGGTAGAGTATTTGTGTATTTTATTTTCCGCATATTTTGATGGTTTTTATAAGGTAGAAAAGAAAAGAGGTCATCAAACTTGGATTCCTTAGTTTATTTCTGCATAGAATGACCAATAAAACTGTTTTGTTGTTGTTCTCTCTTACCCCTAATGCAATTATTGTAATACATGTGTAGGCAACTTTAGCTTTGTATGCAACAAGACGAACTTCAGGAATTGTTGTTAACATTGGTTTCCACCAGACCTCTGTTGTTCCAAGTAAAGCTATAGGATCTCATTTTAATTTCAAAATTAATATTTGAGCAACTTCCCGCAGTTGTACAGTGCAAGTGGACCTAAGCTTTACGAAACTTTCTAAATGCAATTGATTACTTATAGTTGCACAGAATGCTTATACTTTCCCTTCACTGCTGTCATTATTACATCAATTTTACAAATCATGCATTTTCTACCCGTTGCTTTAATTTTTTTCAGCAATCTCATTAATTTCTTTCTTTCTGTTCTTTTTTTGTTTATGCATAAAAAATGGCTAGGTGTTCACTACTGTTTTCTTATTCTCTATTACATGATTTCTGTTAAGTTTCTCTTTTCCTAATTGTGCATGGTCACCTGCGACTCAATTTTCTAAGTTTTGGATTCTATTCTGCAGTTTTACATGGTCAAGTCATGTGCAAGGTGGGTGTTAAAGTTGTGGGAATGGGAGCATTGAAGCTTACAGGATTCCTTAGGGAACAAATGCAGTAGAAAAATATACATTTTGAGTCACTGTACACTGTGCGCACATTAAAAGAGGTATTGACAGTGCCCTTTGCTCTATGGACTCTGATATTTGTCTTTCCTCTCATTAATGAGGAAAAGTTTGGCCAAAAGTGTGGCTGGCTTGTCAGCATGTAGAGTAAATGTGACATTCACCAATTGATTGTTCTAGTCAGCTGGATGGCTCTAGAAGTCATGAATTCCACCCTAGAATCCAAGAAGAAATAGCAGTAAGTGATGTTGGAAACATAGGGTTTTGTCCTGTACTTGGGATTTCCTATGTGTAGACATCCGTAAGCTGCCCTCCTCCGGATGTTTTCTCCTATAGCTCTTCAAACAGGTAGGGATATGGTATGGTTTTAGGATCGAAATGGATTGCCCTTGCCCGACTGAAAGTTGAGAAAAGGGATGCCTACAACTCTATGAGTTCTAGGAGCCTCAAGTCTATGCAAGACACCCATATGGTTAGCTCTCTTTCTAGGGACAACCTTTTTTATTGTCTAATTGATGAAAGCCGATTGATAATTCAAAGCCCCGGTCTCTATTAGATATTGCATTTACAGCTAATGCTAATCCATGAAAATCTCACTTCTTAGTGCTTTTGGGTATATTCAATTACTGATTTTAGCTTTTATAAACTTTTTTGGATGATATAATTAGTTCATTTTGTCCCCCAATAGCCAGGTTGACAGCTCATAAGACCACAAAAACCTTCTAAAACACCAACTATTTTCTAGCTGTTAATTTGATTTGATGAGGACATATTTTGGCAGCAGAGTCTCAAATGCTGGGAGGGTTTTGCTCAATCCCCTCACTGAAGTATATGAATCCTGCTAATAAGATTTTTAAGTGGATTTTCCACACTTGAACAGTTAAGATCATGCCAGAGGGTCCTCCACAAAATAACAACTGAACCCTAGTATAATGTTTATTACTTCTTTTCTGCATATGTTTGACTTCACTTTGGTACATTGCTTCTCCAAATCATACAAGGTTGTGGAAAAGTAAACAATCGGATTTAATTGCACAAGTGAAAGGTCTTAGAAAAGAGGGAAATGAGTTAGTTGTTCTTACCTTTTCTGTAAGAGTGCTGATACTTTTGGTTTCAGAATCCTCAGTTCCATGACTATGACCTCCTGCCTCAAATTCAACTTGGGGCTTCTTTATTTCAACACTTTCCTTTGAGTTTTCTTCAAAGTTCATAGCAGAATCCTCTTTTTCCTGGATAGCCTTTTCAGTCTCTATGCATCCACCATCCGCTTCAACACCCTTAGAGTCTGCACTGACTGCCATTTCATAGTCAGATTGATCCTTTTCTAATCCTGTATCTGACAACTTTTCATCTTCTACAGTCTCCAATTTGCCAATCTCACTGCAATCAGGTATTTGACTGGTGCTTACGCTCTTCAAAATTTTGATATCTGATTCAGATGTACTTTTTTCATTGTTCATCTCAGGAGAAGTATACGACTCTTGATCCTCATTTTGAGCATCATCATTTGCACTCTCCTTTTCAATTTCTATAGGCTCCACATTGGTATTGTTTATTTGATTTGTTGACTCATCCTCCTTTTCCATTGTATTTTCTTCTGCTGTCTCTGCAACTATGGGAGTTTCTGCGTTGCCATACAAGGTTTTGTCTTTCTCTGGAGCCTCAACTCTTGTCTCACTCACATCAGGTGTCAAGAAGTTGTGTTCTTCCAATGATGTCGTGGAAGATGCCTGAAGGTTCTGTTCTGATATGTCATCCAAGGATGTCTCAACAGTGGCGATTTCTCTTTGATCTTCAGTATTTGATATTGCATCACAGGTTTCATTCTTCCCTTCAGGCTCTATCTTTTCTGCTGCTTCATCGGCCCCATGCTTTCTTGCTGTTGGGATCTCCATGTCCTTATTCTCACCCAAGTTAGATGTTTCTATAGTTTTAGCAATGGTATCTATGCCATTTGACTCCATCTCACTTGTTTCAGTTGTTAATAGACCCTTCTCTTCAGAAACCATGTTAGAACTATCTACCTGCATCTTGTGTTCTACTTCAGCTTCCGTTAAGCTTGTTTCCTCTATCACCACTGTAGCCTCTGAGTCTGCTTTCTCTAAAATCTCCTCTTTAATCTCTTTCTCGGATATGTCAGGCACTGAAGAGTAGTTTTCAACAAGATCTAAATTGCTTTCTTTTTTAGCTGTTTCTTCTTCTGACGATCTTGTAAAACTCTCATAATTGAAGCCGTCATTTGTCTCTGCCTCATCCTGTAGGGTATTGGCTTCTCTTTCCTTTGTGGAAAGAATTGGCTTCTTGATTTCGTCTTTCATTGTTATTTTAGAGTTCCTGACCTGTTAAACCAAGAGTTTTTAAGTTGACAACTAAGAGAGGAGAGTGAGTAGGGAAAAGCTTGGATTTACATTCAAATTTTTGTACATAAGCATACCTCTTTTTCTGATCTCATTGCTTCTGTTTCGTCTTCTTTCAAGTTTTCCTGAACTTTTCCCTCCCCAACGGTTGAGGAAGGGAGGTCTGTGATGGTACTTTCCTCCATAGTCATGCTTCCTCCAGCAGTTTCATACTCCTCACTTGCCTATATAATGGATTCAACAGTGAGTCTAGATAACTAAATTAGAAGAGGGAAGCTTGGATCCACTTTCTACTTTTTGTACACAAGCATACCTCTTTTTCTGATCTCATTGCTTCTGTTTCGTCTTCTTTCAAGTTTTCCTGAACTTTTTCCTCCCCAACGGTTGAGGAAGGGAGGTCTGTGATGGTACTTTCCTCCATAGTCGTGCTTCCTCCAGCAGTTTCATACTCCTCACTTGCCTATATAATGGATTCAATAGTGAGTCTGGATAACTAAATAAGCAGAGGAAAGCTTGGATCCGCATTCAACTTTTTCTACACAAGCATACCTCCTGTTCTGATCTCATTGTTTCTGTTTTGTCTTCTTTCAAGTATTCCTGAAATTTTTCCTCCCCAACAGTAGATAAGGAAGGGAGGTCTGTGATGGCACTTTCCTCCATAGTTGTGCTTGCTCCAACAGTCTCATACTCCTCACTTGCCTATGTAACAGATTCAACTATGAGTCTAGTGAAGCGAACAAGAAGTGGAAAGTTTGGATCTACATTCAACTTTTTGTACATTAGCATACCTCTTTTTCTGATCGCATTGCTTCTGTTTCGTCTTCTTTCAAGTTTTGTTGAACTTTTTCCTCCCCAACGGATGAGGAAGGGAGGTCTGTGATGGCACTTTCCTCCATAGTTATGCTTGCTCCCACAGTCTCATATTCCTCAATTGCCTATGTATCGGATTCAACTATGAGTCTAGAGAAGTGAACAAGAAGTGGAAAGTTTGGATCCACATTCAACTTTTTGTACATTAGCGTACCTCTTTTTCTGATCTCATTTCTTCTGCTTTGTCTTCTTTCAAGTTTTCTTGAACTTTTTCCTCCCCAACAGATGAGGAAGGGAGGTCTGTGATGGCACTTACCTCTATGGTCGTGCTTGCTCCAACAGTCTCGTACTCACTTGCCTATATGACAGATTCAACTATGAGTCTAGAGAACTGAATAACAAGAGTAAAGCTTGGATCCACATTCAACGTTTTGTACAGAAGCATACCTCTTTTTCTGATCTCATTGCTTCTGTTTTGTTTTCTTTCAAGTTTTCCTCAACTTTTTCCTCCCCAACAAATGAGGAAGGGAGGTCTATGATGGCACTTTTCTCCATGGTTGTGCTTGCTTCCACAGTCTCATGCTCCTCACATGCCTATATAATGGATTCAACTATGAGTCTAGAGAGCTGAATAAGAAGAGGAAAGTTTGGATCCACATTTAAATTTTTGTACAGAAGCATACCTCTTTTTCTGATCTCATTGCTTCTGTTTCGTCTTCTTTCAAGTTTTCCTGAACTTTTTCCTCCTCAACAGATGAGGAAGGAAGGTCTGTGATGGCGCTTTCTTCCATGGTCATGCTTACTCCAGCAGTCTCATACTCCTCACTTGCCTATATAACAGATTCAACAATGAGTCTAGAGAACTGAATAAGAAGAGTAAAGCTTGGATCCACATTCAACTTTTTATACATGAGCATACCTCTTTTTCTGATCTCATTGTTTCTGTTATGTCTTCTTTCAAGTTTTCCTCAACTTCTTCCTCCCCAACAGATGAGGAAGGGAGGTCTGTGATGGAAATTTCTTCCATGGTCATGCTTGCTCTAGCAGTCTTGTACTTCTCACTTGCCTATAATAACGAATTCAACTATGAGTCTAGAGAACTGAATAAGAAGTGGAATGTTTGGGTCGACATTCAACTTTTTATACATGAGCATACCTCTTTTTCTGATCTCATTGTTTCTGTCTTGTCTTCTTTCAAGTTTTCCTGAACTTCTTCTTCCCCAACAGATGAGGAATGGAGGTCTGTGATGGCACTTTCCTCCGTGGTTGTGCTTGCTCCAGCTGTCTCATACTCCTCACTTGCCTATATAACGGATTCAACTTGAGTCTAGAGAACTGAAGAAGAAGAAAAAGGGACAAAATAGGGCAAGTTAGTTTTTAATGCTTTTCTTATCCAACTTAACCTCATCCTCCTGGGAGCTCTCTCGAACTGTTTTTTCTAGAAAGGATTCTGCAGACTGGTTTCTGGCACTGCTCTTTACGATCTGCTCTGAAGTGTCCTGGCCTCCATGGTTTTTCTCAAGTACCTTTTGATATATATTGACATCCACTTAGGCTCCATTGTTCAGTTGAGAAATAACAGGAGTAAAGGAAGTGAATTAATGATGTTTGCTTTGGTTTCAAAACCTGTTTCTGGGGCTCTTATTGAGACACCCGCTGAAGACCTGCCTCTGGGCAAGGCAACTACAGAGCATTTTCAGCTTTAAATGTCAAGTAATAGTCTCAATTAGTATATACCAAAGTCCCCTAACAAGCAAGGGCTCAGTTTAAAAGGTGTGTGTGTGCCTATTCACTCCTTGATCCATGAGGCTAATGCCCCATATGTTCTATTTTTAAGTTTACCTTTGTTATTTTGAGGGTAACAAGGTTTTCTATTACGTTTTGATTGTATTTAATGGTCTTGTTAACCTGTTCTTTTTTCCATCTTTCTTTTCCTCCAACCTTGTTTTTTAGGACCATCACTGAACATTACATCACTTTTTCCACCCCCTTCAGAAGGGTGCATTTGTATGGTTTTTTATAGTTGAAGGGATGAAGTGATATTCTGTGATAGGTGAGAAAATAACTCTCCAGTCATACTTGTGCTTTCTCTTAGCCTTTGTATCACAAGCTGCTGTAAGTTTTCAGATAATGAGAGGTTGTGGTAACGGCATGGAGAGGGGTTGAAACAGATTAAAAGTAAAATGAAGGTGATTTTTATTTATTTGAAGAGTCAAACTTTCTTCTATTAAGTTTCAAGATTTCTTGCAGTTTAAAAAAACTAGATTTCAGAAGTTCTGTATTATGTTTCCATGATCTGCCTATATATTTTTACTTAATACCAAAGGCAATCTTGATTTTATCATAAGGAAGACCGAAAAGAATTTGAAGAAAAGTATTGACAACATGTTATCACATCATTTCATAAAATTCTTCAAACTAACCACTGTATCAGGCTCTTTGTCTTCATTTTCTTTGTCACAAGAGTATCCATTTTTAATTTCTTCTCCCTCACATGCTACAAAGTTGTCCTTTGATGTACCATCTTCCTCTTTGGTTTGAATTCCAATGTTTGCACTTCCATCAGCTGTTTGGAGTATCTCAAGAACCTATTTAAGGAATGGGTTTTTGGATTAACAAAGTAGAATGAAAGACTTAAAGCTGAGAAAATGAGGTCGAAATAATCACCCATGAATCCATGATATAATGAAAAGATGTTCTGTAGTATAGTTTACCTCTTCTTTGGATGTCTTTGTCTTCATTTCATCTTCCTGAGGGCTCTCAGTGCCCAATTCTTCTCCAGCAGACACTGTTGGCCAGTCCTGATCTCTGCTTTCCTCTGCTAGAACTTGTTTTTCAATGCCTTCACTTTTACTAGTAGTCTCAAGTTTCTGTCCCATCTGTTTACGAGATAAAAATGAATAAACCGAAGAGTATGAAAGAGAACTTCCTCTAACTTTGTGAATTGGATCTCTAATAGTCTCCTAGGTCCTGGAATATTGACTTATGTGATTAGAAAATTGTATGTCTCCTTAGAGAGGGTGATATTTCTTTCTGTTTGATTCCTAGAACTGCCAATTTAGAGGTCAGTTTCTTGGCCAAGAGCGATACCACTTCTAGAAAATGATTCTTTGGATACTCTGTCTACATGAGTTTGTGTTTTATTTTTCCTTTTAAGGAGATCTACTCCTCTCTTTGTACTTATTTCTTTTCTTTCTAACAAAATTCTCCTTAACATTTTTATTTTATTAACAGAATATATGTACTACCATGAAAAGAGTGTGAGAAATCATCCATTTATCTCTGTGGGGGAGACTAAAAGTAAGCTACAGAATTGGCTGTCTTGCTAACCTCAGTGTGGTCTTCAATTTTCATCTCTTTTTCTGCCTCTTCACCCCTGTCAGTTATCTTAGGTTCCTCGTACTCCTGAATGGTCTATAACAGTGCATCTTAGTGAGAAACCAAGATTAGAAGTTAAAAAAAAAAAGAACTTAAGAGGGACATCAGATTAAGTTATTCATGTAGTTCAAAGAGACCTCTTCATTTATGATGTGGTCATTGACGTTTTTTGTCTCACTAGATGTTCTGCAACTTTGATCTCCGCTGTCCAACTCAATCGATGCTTCCTTCGAACTGTTTGGCCCAATTTCATCCTCTTGATCATGATGATAGTCTTCTTCTCCAGTGCATAAGGGAGTGTCGTTCTTGACTGTAACGTCCTCCTCTATTGTACTTCTCTCGTTGTCATCACCTGCAGCAGATTTTACAGGTCTGTGAAATTCCCTCTCTGTGAGTGTGTAATTCCTTTCATTTCATGCAAGTCTGCTTGAATCTTAGGCATTGGTTATTAAGAAGTGTTAAACCCCAATAGTAGGAGCCTACAGGTATCGAGTCCCTGCTTTGGGTTGTTTGTGGGTCCAATCTTAGAGATGTAAGAATTTGAAACCTTCATCTAATACAGGAGTTGATCACGGAAAAGAAGAAACTAAAGAAAAGGAAAGGAAAGACAATAAATCTTCATGTACTTATTTATTACCATCATTGAAAGTTATTCAATGTTGAAGAGATGGAAAATCTCTTGCCACAAAAGTGCCTGTCTGCAGTTTTATACTCAAAATTGACGTCTACTAATAGTTTTTATTATTTTGGGTTATCTTTTTATTTTGTTTTGTGGGCATTTGTGCCATTAGTGCTGTTGAGGCAGTGGACCTTCTTGCAAAGAAGATATTCCTTAGATAGCATTCGGTTTTATTGCCCAAGGAAAAAGTGGGTCTATGAAAAGACTTTTGATTGCTTAAAAGCAACAAGAATGGTTTAATTGTAATGGATTTAGTTGGCACTCTATGATGAATCAAGATATATATATGTACTAATTGAAGAATGGTATCTTGTGGAGAAAAATATGTTGAAGTTTTAAAACTACTCACTTCTTGTTGATATTTGAATCTCTGTATCAGAAGCTTTTTCTTTCTGTTCTATCTCTTCTTTTATGGTCTCCTCTGCATTGATCTCCTTTACTTCCTTTTCAGAGTTCAGTTCAGAACCGTGTTCAAGATTAATATCCAGTTCATATGTTGTTGAGGTCACATCCATGTTTAGTGCCTCTCCAATGGATGTATGGTCTAAAATGGTACTCTGAGGACTTTTGCTTGCTTTATATGTCTCATTAACATGCTTTTCTTCTTCCATGGGAACTTCAAATGCTTCATGAAGTTGATCCCCTGATTCTGACATGGAAACTTCATCCTGCTTTTCAACTCCCAATTGGACTGTTTCTTCTACGGTTGGATGGGTGACATATAATTCATTATCATTCTTGTTTGGAATCTCAACTTCTGTGCTTCTAGTCTTCTCATCCAAGTCAACTGTTGAAAGATTCTGCATCAAGAATACAATGTCAACAAAAACTTGAAATCCTTACAGGAAAAAAACTACTCATTTCACTGCTATAAAAAACTAATAATGAACTATCAAAATTTCAAAATTTCTATAATTCTAACCTTTCCTTCAGGATTTTCATCTTTTTTTATTTCATCCTCTATTGTTTCCCCAAGGATTTTTTGAGGGATTCCGTCCATTCTTTGCGCCTCAATGTTAGTAATCGTTTCAGCATACTCATTGGGAGCAGTTGTTTCAATCTCCCCAGAAGCTACATCCAAGGGACTTCCCAGGTTTGCCGTTGCTGGTTCAGTTTCCTGCATGAAGCTGCTCTTCTCCGAATGTTCCTCGTGATTTGATGTTTCAGGTTGGTCCTGCTGTGCTGCCACAATGTTGTCTTCACCAGCTACAACCATAAACCCTTCTTGTTGGCATTCCATTGTCAATTCTTCTGTTGGAATGATGTCTTCGCTTTCTCTTCTCATGCTTTCATTTGGCTCCCTAAATGAGGCATCAGGTTTTGGTTCAGGGTTTTCATCATCCTTACCTATTGTACTTAGATTGGTATCAGGTGTAACAATATTTTCAAGGATATCATTTCGGTTGTCTTCTTCATTTTGACTCTCATTGACAATATCCTTCATCCCAGTTTCAGATTCTTCTTTGGATGTCTCAGGGCTGTCTGCTTTTTGTAAGCATATATCTTCAACTTCTTTGACAAAAAACGATTCTAAGTTCTGGTTTTGAACTTCATCTTCAATCGATGTCACATCTTTCATCTTCTCACTTAAAATTACTGTTTCTTGGCTTCCATCCTCGCATGCCATACTGGAGTTCTCGTCAAGATTTCCTTTTACATCTTGTACCGGCTTTTCAGAGCATTCATCCTCTATTGGTGCAGTGAACAATGAGCTGTCAAGCGTATCCCCAGCAGCCTCACTGGTTTCTATTACCTTGTCTGTTTTCTGATTATCTGGACATGCAATATCTTTTGACAGATAATCATCTTTGGTGCTATCACACGGCATTTCCAGCCCCTTATTTTCCTCATCCTCTGTATCTGTACTTGGTTGTATTCTTTCATGAATTTCTTCAACATCATCACCTGTGGACTCAGATATTGCTTCGTAAGTTTTTGTTTCAACTTGAACTTCATCTGCGTCTGCATTCTCATATTCAATTGTTGGAGATTTAGACAACATGCCAATGGCTTCTTCAGGCTCAATCTTGTCAACTTCTGTTTCATCTTTCTTTGTGCTCTCATCATCCATCTTGCTTGTGGTGCTAGTTTCACAATTCAAGGCAGATGATGACACCTGAAGTTGCTCTTCTAATTTACCAACTGGATGAGGATGATCAGAGGTCTCATCATCAGCAACTGCATCAAAACCTTCTTCAATTTTGTCTGACTCAGTGTTTTCTGTAGTTGGGCTTGTTCTTGTCTCATGAATCTCTTGAAATCCCTGATCTTTGGACTCTGATACTGCTTCCAGAGTTTCAGTTTCTTTGGCTTCAACTTCATCTGCATCTAGCTTTTCTACAGTTTCATTGTTTGCACTCTCACATTCGGTTATTGGAAGTTCAGACACCATGCCAGAGTTTTCTTCATGCTTCAAGTTGTCAACTTGTGTATCATCTTTCTTTGTGCTCTCATCTTCAGACTTTTCGATTGTGGTTGTAGTTTCACTGTCCTGTTTCTCAGAAATCAAGGAAGAGGATGGCACCTGAAGTGGCTCTTCTATTTTCTCAGCTTGGAGAGTCTGACCAAGGGTAATCTCCTCATCTCTAGCTGCTTCAACACCTTTATTTATGGGCTCAGATAATGCTTCAGGAACTTCACTAATTTGTTTTTCAGTTTCATTTGCATCAATTACTCCCACAATCAGGCTTGTTCCTGTCTCATGAGTCTCTTTGATACCCTGATCTTTAGACTCAGGTACTGTTTCAGGAATTTTGGTTTCTTTAGCTTCAACATCATTTGCATCTGATTTCTCTACAGTTACACTTACATTGTCTTCTTTCTCATGTTCTTGCATTGGAAGTTGATACACCATGCTAAAGGTTTCTTGAAGCTTCAGGCTGTCCACTTCTGCATCCTGTTGATTATCATCAGCTGTTTTGGTTCTCTCTAGACTCTTAGCATCTGAACTGGTGTCAAGGACCTTTACAGATTCATCATTTAGCTGAACTTCCCCCAAGTTTGTTACTTCTGTTGCCACTGTTGGTGAAATAATGTCAGCACCAATATCTGCTTCAATGGCTTGATTTATGGGTTGAGGTAATGCTTCGGGAACTTCTCTGATTTGTTTTTCAATTTCATTTGCATCAGTCTCTTCCACAGTTAGGCTTGTGCCTGTCTCATGAATCTCTTTGACATCCTGATCCTTAGACTCGTCAGGAATTTTGGTTTCTTCGACTTCAACATCATTTGCATCCGACTTCTCTAAAGTTATACTTTCATTGTCTGCTTTTTCATGTTCATGTACTGGAAGTTGTAGCTCGATGCTAGATGTTCCTTCAATCTTCATGCTGTCAACTTCTGCATCATGTTGGCTAGAATTAGCTGTTTTGGTTGCCTCTAGATTCTTAGCATCTGAACTGGTATCAATGGCCTCTACAGGCTCACCATTTAGTTGAAATTCTCCCAAGCTTGTTACGTCTGTAACCACTGTTGGTGCCGTATCAGCATTGTCATCACAATTTTCTGTGTCTTCTATGTTCTCTTCCTCAATCTTTTCTGCCGACACTTCAGATACCGAGCTTAAGACATTCACAGGCTTCTCAATTGGCTCATTAATATCTTCATTCATTGCTTTTGATTCCTGGTTGAGATCTTCTTCAACCTTTGATTTTGCCATTTCTGTGTTATTATTGGAAGATGTTGTCTCAAGACTCCCAATGGACGTGAGATCCAGTTCTCTCACCTATTTGATAGATAAAGTTGCAAATTAATTATCATAAAAAAAAGAAGAAAATAAAGCGTCTTGTTGGAAATGTACAAAATAATTTGCTTTGTATTAATGTTAAGCTGACCTCATTTACTGTTTCATCTGCTTCAGGTATCATATGAAGTTCCTTAGTGCAACTTTCTTCCTGCATGGTCTGTTCTTCGATGATTTCAGTTTCCACTGCTCTCTGAATTTCACTGGGCACCTGTTTGACAGGTTTGAGTTCAACATAGCAAATAGAAGCTCAGAAATAAATGATGGGGAAAAATTTTATGCAGAAGTCCGTGATGTATCCGAACTGACCTTTTCATTCAAAATTGTATCCTGAGTTTTGTTGATTTCTTTTTGGCTCTCTAATTTGGGTTCGATCTCCTCATTCATCTTTGTGCTTTCTTCTTCAATATCTTGGCCACTAATTTGTTCTTTAGTGGAATCAGTAGTATGATTCTCATCATCATGGCTCTCTTCTGGAATGTTGGCCTGATTGGTTTCAGGCATTCTTCTGTTACTCTCATCTTCAACCATTGAATCTGGGGCAGATCTGTGATTTTCACCATGTTCAACTGTTTCGATAGTCTGTTCCAAAATGATGGATAGTCTTTAGTAAAGCCATAATGTGATCTAAATTCTAAAATAGAAAAGAGAGACTTTAGGTGGAGTTTAGATGCTCCATGGATTTTTAATGATTTCTTATGAATGCTCTCGTAGATAGCTTTTGAATACATAACATAGTGGACAGACAGCGTCATTGGCATAAACACATGATGATAGAGAATAATATATCAACCATCTGATTTAATAAAAAAAGGAAAATGCATTAGTTGTTCTTACCTTTTCTGTAAGAGTGCTGATACTTTTAGTTTCAGAAGCCTCACTTCCATGACTATGACCTTCAATTTCAAATTCATCTGGTGCTTTCTCTATTTCAATGCTATTCTTTGAGCTGCCTTCAAAGTCTTTAGCAGAATCCTCATGTTCCAGTATATCCTTGTCAGTATCTGTACATCCACCATCCGCTTCAACACCCTTTGTGGCTTCGTTGACTTCAGTTTTATATTCAGATTTGTCTTTTTCTATTCCTGTATCTGATGGCATTTTATCTTCTGAAGTCTCCAATTTTCCCATCTCACCACATTTGGTTACTTCGCTGGTGTTTACCCTGTTTAAAAGTTCCACATCTGATTCAGATATACTTTTTTCATTGTTCACCTCAGGGGGTGTATACAACTCTGGATCCTCATTTTGAGCATCATCATTTGCACTCTCCTTTTCTATTTCTATAGGCTCCATTTTGGTGTCATTTTTTGGATTTGTTGACTCATCCTCTTCCATTTTATCTTCCTCTGTTGTCTCTCCAACTATGGGAGTTTCTTCTTTTCCATACAAGGTTTTGTCATTCTCTGGAGCCTCACTTGTTGCCTCACTCACAGGCGTCATGATGTTGTGTTCTTCTACTGACAGTGTGGAAGATGCCTGAAGGTTTTGATCTGATATCTCATCCAAGAATGTCTCAGCAGTGGCAATTTCTCTTTGATTCTGAGTTTTTGATATTGCATCACAGCTTTCATTCTTCCCTTCAGGCTCTGTCTTTTCTGCTGTTTCATCTGCTCCATGTTTACTTGCAGTTAGGATCTCCATGGCCTCATTCTCATCCAAGTTCAATGTTTCTGTAGGTTTTTCAGTGTTATCTATGTCATTTGACTCCATCTCACTTGTTTCAGTTGTTAACAGACCCATCTCTACAGAAACCATGTCAGAACTATCTACTGGCATCTTGTATTTTTCTTCAACTTCAGTTAAGCTTGTTTCCTCTGCTACCATTGTAATCTGTGAGTCTTCTTTCTCCTCTTTAATCCCTTTCTCGGATATCTCAGGCACTGAAGAGGAGTTTTCAACAATATCCAAATTGCTTTCTTTTTGAGCTGTTTCTTCTTCTGATGATCGTGTTATACTCTGAGCATTCAAGTCCTCATTCATCAAACTAATCTCTATATCAGACTCTTTTTCCTCATCGTTGCCATAAGAGCATTCATTTTTAGTTTCTTCTCCGTCACGTGCTACAAATTTGTCCTTTGACGTACCATCTTCCTTTTTGGTTTGTATTCCAATCTTTGCACTTCCATCAGCTGTTTGAAGTGTCTCAAGAACCTATTGAAGGAATGGGCCCTTGGATTAACATAGCAGAATGAAAACTTAAATCTGAGAAAAGGAGGTCTAACTAACAATCCATGATATAATGAAAAGACGTTCCATAGTCTAGTTTACCTCTTCTTTGGACATCTTTGTTGTCATGTCATCTTCTTTAGAGCTCTCAGTACCAAATTCTTCTCCAGCGGACACTGTTAACCCATCCTGAACTCTGTTTTCCTCTGCTAGAATTTGTTTTTCAATGACCTCACTTTTATTGGTAGTCTCAAGTTCTTCTCCAATCTGTTTACGAGATAAAAATGAATAAATCAAAGAGTATGAAGAGAAAATTTTCTCTAACATTGTGAATTTGATCTCTAATAGTCTCCTAAATCCTGGGGGATTGACTTATGTAATTAGGTAGCAATAATTCTTTCTTCTGACTTCCTGAAACTGTCAATTTGGATGCCAATTTTTATGCCAAGAGCAATACCAGTGCTAGAAAATGACATAATTTGCCTAGATAGCGTGTTTGATTTTTACTTTTAAGGAGATATACGCCTCACTTTGTACTTCTTTTTTTCTTAACAAAATTCTTCTTAATATCTGCATTTTAGTAACAGGCTAAGAAGCACGGACACTTCTAAGAAGGTGAAGTATCCGTGTCGTGTCCGTGTCGGACACCGACACTCTTTGGAGACTCTTAGGACACGTGTCCAACACTCTTCAAAACGTGTCCTATTTTAAAAATCCAGACACTCTTTGGACACTTGGAGGATACACGTGTCTATCGGCTAGACATATGTGAAACTAATTATAAATTTGAACAAAATAACTTAAAATATAATAATAAAACAAAAACTATATAAATTTATAGGAATTAGTGTTACATTCCATTTTTTATTATTTTTGAATGATATATTCATATATATCTATAACATATAATAAATATATAAATTTATATATTTCATGTGTGTCCCTCACGTGTCGTGTCCTACATTTTTTGAAAATTAACGTGTCAGCGTGTCCGTGTCGTATTCGTGTCGTGTCACGTGTCCGTGTCCGTGCTTCTTAGATGGTTACTGTACGCAGTCTTAAAGCATTCTGTTTATCTGTGAGACAGGCTAAAATTAAAGAACAATATTAGGGATCATGAAAAAAATATCAAGAAATACTTCATGAAGATTTTTCATCATTTAATTAGTATGTGATGTTTTATTGTATGTGTAATCTAACGGTGGAGAATCTTTCATGATCATCATCCTGATATTTTTTTCATGATCCCTAGCATTACTCAAAATTAAATTGTAGAATCGGCTATCTTGCTGACCTTAGCTTTTTGCTTCTCTGCATCCATTTCATTTTCTTGAGAGCACTTTGTTGTGTGTTTTCCATTGGATTCTGGTGAGCGATCCATAACAGTGTGTTCTTCATTTTCCATCTCTTTTTCTTTGTTTTCACCCCTGTCAGCTATCTTAACATCCTCGTACACCTGAATGGCCTATCACAGTGGATCTTAATAAGCGATCATATTTAGAAGTAGAAAAAAAAAACTTGAGGACATCAGGTAAAGTTATTCATGACTTCAAAGATACCTCTTCATTTATGATTTGGTCATTGATATTTTTTGTCTCATTAGATGTTCTGCAACCCTGATCTCCAGTATCCAATTTAGGTGATGCTTCCTTAGAACTGAGTGTCTCGTTTTTATCCTCCTGATCATGATGATATTCTTCTTCTCCAGTGCACAAGGTAGTGTTCTTGACAGGAACAACTTCCTCTGTTGTACTTTTCTCATTGTCATCACCTGCATCAGATAATACAGGTCTGTAAAGTTCCCCTTGTGTGTGTGTGTGCGCGCGCACATGCACACGTGCTTGAGTGTGCAATTACTTCATTTCATGCATGTCTGCATGAATCTTGGGCACTGATTATTATGAAGTGTTAACTCCAATTGTAAGAACATACATGTATCGAGTCCCTAATTTGGTTCGTTTGTGGAACTTGAAAACATGACGATACAATCATCTAATATAAGAGTTGATTGCAGAAAAAAAAAGGAAAAAAAGTAAAGGCAAGAAATCTTCCTGTACTTCTCTATTAACATCACTGAAAGTAATGAACGCTGAAGAGATGGCAAATCTTTTGCAACAAAGTTACCTGTCTGCAGTCTTATATTTAAACATTGATATAGGGTGAGCTTTTTTCTGGTGTTTTGTGGCCATTCTGCCATAAGTGCTGATGAGGCAGTGAACCTTCTTGTAAAGATGATTTGACTTAGACAGGTTTTGCTTTTATTACCGAAGGAAGAGCAGGTCAGTGAACGGATTTTTGACTTCTTAAAAAGCAACAAGCATGGTTTATTGTAGTGTTTTTGTTGACAGTCTATGAAGAACAAAGATATATCACTGTATACTAATTAAAAGGTGGTAGCATCCTGTGGGGAAATATATGTTAAAAGTTTTGGAACTGCTCACTTTTTGTTGCTATTTGAATCTCTGTATCAAAAGCTTTTTCTTTCTGTTCTGTCTCTTCTTTGATGTTCTCCTCAGCATTGATCTCCTTTATTTCCTTTTCAGAGTTCAGTTCACAACCCTTTTCAGGATTAATGTTCAGCTCACTTGTTGCTAAGGTCACTTTCATGTTTAGTGCCCCTTCAGTGGATGTATGCTCTAAAATGATACCCTCTGGACTTTTGCTTGCTTCAAATGTTTCATTAACACGCTTTGCTTCTTCCATGGGAATTTCAAATACTTCATGAAGTCTACCCCCCGATTCTGACATGGAAACTTCATCCTGCTGTTCACCTTCCCCTTTGACTGTTTCTTCTATGGGTGGATGGGTGACATATAATTCATTACCATTCTTGCTTGAGATCTCAACTTCCATACTTCTAGTCTTCTCATCCAAGTCAACTGTTGAGACATTCTGCATCAGGAATACAATATCAGATAAAATCTTGAAATCTTTACTGGAAGATAACTGTTCACTTCACTGATAAAAAGAAACTAGTTGTGAACAATCAAAAGTTTAAAATTGCTATTATTCTAACCTTCGCCTCAGGATTTTCATTCTTGTTTATATCATCAGCAATTATTGTTTCATCCTGTCTTGTTTCCCCAAGGATTTCTTGAGGGATTCCAACAGGTCTTTGCTCCTCAATGTTGGTCATCGTTTCAGCATACTCACTGGGGGAAGGTGTTTCAATCTCCTCAGATGTTACATCCAAGGGGCTTCCCAGGTTTGCCTTTGCTGGTTCATTTTTTTGAACAAAGCTCTGCACTGAGTGTTCCTCATGCTTTGATGTTTCAGTTTTTTCCTTCTCTTTATCTTCAGCATTGTCTTCACTTGCTAGAACCATAAGCCTTTCATGCTTGCATTCCATTGTCAAAGCTTCTGGTGGAGTGAGGTCCTCACTTTCTCTCATACTTTCCTCAGCTTTTGGTTCTGGGTTTTCATCAACCTTACCTGTAGTACTTAGATTTCTATCAGTTGTAGCAATGTTTCGAAGGATTTCATTTTGGTCATCTGCTTCATCTGGGCTCTCCTTGACAATGTACTTCATCCCAGCTGCGGATTCTTCTTTGGATGTCTCAAGGTTGTCTACTTTCGGGAAGCTTATATTTTCAAGTTTTTCGACAAAAGAAGATTCAAAGTTCTTGTTTTGAACTTCAACGTCAATTGTGGTCACATCTTTCATCTTCTCGCTTAATTCAACAATTTCTTGGCTTCTGTCCTCGTATGCCATACTGGTTTTCTCTTCAAGATAGCCTACATCTGGTCCTGCCTTTGCATAGCTTCCCTCCACTATGATGTTTTTGTCTGTAATGCATCCTTTCTCATCCTGCAAGTCACTCAATTCTTCTTTGGTAATTGATTGGTTTTCTTCAGTATTCCTCATCGGCTTTTCATCTGAAACTGAGGATGATTTTAAAAAAATCTCACCCTCAATGTTTCCAACATTGCCTTCATCAACAACATTCACATTTGGAACCTCCTTACCATTGACTACTTGCATGTGTTCTGTTTTTTCCAAGATTTCAATGGTTTCAGGAGGTTGGTTAACCGAGGATTCAACGCTGTTCTTTTCTTCTTCCATGGGAACTTCATTGACAATTGTGTATGAAAGTTCACTTGTCAACTCTTTGTCTTCCACCCCATCTCTTTTCTGCTGTCAGTTTGAAAAACAAAAAGAAAGTGAATTTCATGGAGTAAAGAGGGTTGTCCAAGAAAACAGTTAGCGAAAAGTAAGGAGGCAGAACAGTAAGAATTAGTGTTTCGAGGAAGCTTTTGGAAACTAGAATCTGACATATAGAGTGATATTGGAAGAGAGGACACTTGTCCCTCTGGATTTTAATCCGAGTATGAAATTAAAGTATTAGCAACCTTTCCTTTCTCATTTTCAACTACTAATGCAGAATACAAAAAAAACTAATAATGAGTGATTTATTGGCTCCAATTTTGATTTTACTTCAAACAAACTGAGTTCACATACAACAATTTATTTTATTTTATTTTGTTTTAATTTTTTAAGGTAGATGATACCATTAGGGCCGGAAACTGCTGATTATCTGCATGAAGGTGAATGACAATCTTATTGTGGTTTCTAGGTATATATGGTATTTGCAATTTTAATATTTTCTGTTGACATAGACATTGATTTAAATTATGCACTTTCTGTGATGTTTTTATGCTATGCATATAACGTACAATATTTTTATTTCTTACATAAATTGCTTTCTGGCACTGTTGGCTTATGTAATTACTAAGACTGTTGAATGGCTTGTTTTATTAATATTCAGTTCATCAACATGAATTTTCCATCATGTTTAAATTCATTTGGGTGGTTTAGTTAAGCTTTTGTGCATCTAGATAGAATCAAATCACAAAAATAAATTCATGTAGACAAGCCACCTAGTCTGGATTTAGCAGAGTGCAAATTAAGGCTCTAGTCAGCTGAGTTTACTGGTAGAGAACAACATTGTGACACAATCAAACATAAATCATTCTATTTTGAATTATTAGTGAAATTTTATGCTGAAAGTCTGTTTTTATTCTAGCACTGTTGTTGTAAGTATGATAACCTCATGGATTCTAGAACTATACTTCAAAGAATTTTGGTTATATGCAAGGCAGAGTTTGGTGTACTGACTTCTTGATAGTTGATACTGCAAATCTATGGTGTTGGTTGTGGATATTTCTCACAGGAATCACACGATCACGTCAGACAATTCTTATAAACGCAAACTGTGAAGTTTTTAACTCCAAAAACCAACTTTTCATTCTATGCAAGAACAAGATCATCACAATATAGCATATATGTCAAATTTTAGATAAAAACTCAAATTGATCCTTATGATGCAAGATGAAGAGGAAGTGTTGCTTACTGTTAGAGATATGGGATCTGGAATATCAGCAGCCTCTGTAGCCATTTCTCAGCTTGATTGTCTTCTGAAAATTCTCTCTCCAAACTGCTGAAGTAAGGTGTACATGTTACTTACGAAATTATGAATAATGCAGTTCAGATATGTGTAATGTTGGGTTGATAAGCATGTGGCTAAAGTAGAGTCAGGAACTGACAAATTTCCACTTGTGTGATGTTGTTTTGGTGAGTTGGCAAGATCTATAATGGTCCTACTGAATGACATCCACATGCCCTCACTGGCTAATTTACCAACTTTAGTAAAATTACTCATCTAATAGTACAGACATTTCCAACTGACGGAGACAAAAAAAAAAGACAGAATGTCCTTAGGTAGTGTTTGGTTCATCGAAATGAAAATGAAAAATAAATTGAATCATCGTTCTGTCATATATCAGTTCTCACATTTGATTCACTGAAAAACCAATGAAAAATGCATTGCAAATGAAATCATTATTTACCATCGTAGAATCAAACATTACCTTAGTTTTTACATTTTGTCAGGAGCTACATAAACTGTTGGTGATTATTATCTTAGCTTAGGGTGTATTCTTTCATATGATTATTTTCTTAGCTTAGTGTGTAATCTTTTTTTTTTATTGGCTGTTTTGTCACCGGGAAACATACCTTGACAGGTGCTTAATGCGACTTTGGAAAGGGAATGCAAAGGCCTCGTTAGGTAATGGTAAAACTTATTGGTAAATTTTTCGGTCCTTAATCAGACTAGACTGTGCTGTTGAACCCGTGGGGGCTCATCACGGGTCCCGTTTTGATAATCTGAACCGTTCAATGTGTAGAACTCGTCGAGTACTATATGCCTATAAAAAATCACGTTAATCGGATATCGATAGCTATGTGATCAAATCAGTTTTGTATAAAAAAATAGACAGTGAATAAATTAATGGTTGACAAAAATCTGTTTTGATCACATACCTATCGATATCCGATCAACGTGATTTTTTACAGGCATATAGTACTCGACGAGTTCTACACATTGAATGGTTCAGATTATAAAAACGAAACCCGTGATGGGCCTCCATGGATCCAACAGCCCCGTCCAGTCCGATTAAGGACCGGACAGAAGCCATTCTCTTGAAAATGTGTGTTGTTTTGATAATACTTTTCGGTGTTCTAGCTTTATTTGCCTTTTCAACTCACGGGTTACTTTTTTGAAGGTGGATTTGGGATTTTTTTTTATTTTTAAGGTGCCAATAAATTTTGTCAAACGAGGCCTTTATGTCATAGAAAATTTTGCTTCAGAATTTCATCTTCATTGTGTTTACTTCATAAGATGGTAAAATTTCAACGTAACTGTCCTCGTCATAGAAGCTGGACCAACAACTATAAAATTAGTAAATTATCACTTTATCTTATGCCTACATGTTTGTGTCTAAACACAAATGATCATCTTCACTAAAATTGTGTTAATTAGCATTACTAACTTTTATAAACTCTTTTGTAAAATTGAGATTTTGATTCTCTACATTGGATTAAAATTTAGAATAAGCTCTCTGATCCGGCCAATTCCCTTTTCTTTTTTCTTTTTTTTTCTTTTTCTCCGATCTAAAAACACTTACAATCATCATATGAGAATTTTGAAATGCGAGAATATTGAGACATGATCTAATGATTGTGAGTGTTTTAAGACAGATCAATAAAGAGATTTGAGAACAGAACATTTCATACCCTTAATACTCAAAACAATATCTAGTTAATAAGGCTTAAAATATGACCACACAAAAACAACAATGCTAGAACATAGAATGAATCACAGAATGATTCACAAAAAATGCAATGGAAAACTAAGGATGAGTTTGGCAATATCAAATAGTAGTAAAAGAGTCGCTAAAAAGCTAAAGAATTATACAAAAAGATCAAAGATTACTTTCTATTTTTTGTACTTTTGTCCTAAAAAAAATTAAAAAAATTATTCTAAACATATTAATTTTTTTCACCTCATATTTTAGTTAAAATTAATAAATTATTAAAATAACTTATTCCTAAACCAACCCTAAGATTAAATTTAGTTATGGAAAGGTCCACATTCAGTTATGGAGGTGACTCAATTTGTGTTTTAATTGTATATTCTTAGTATTACTGGTAAAAAATAAATAAATAAATAAATAAATAGTGTGTTATGGTTTTATTATAGCTAAAAAAATACAGCGATGATAATGTATCACTTTTTGTATGGATTGTTTGTTTACTAAAGCTTTTCTGGTACATGGGCATTTGTGTCCTCTCGAGTTATGTTTAGTGGAAGATATCAATTCAAGGCGTCAGTTTTGATGTTCTAAAAACAATGAATTGTGCGAAGAAAAAAACCCAGATTAAGATTGGTGTAATTGGTTGGTTTTTCAATTAGAGTCCAAAAATTCTATTCTTCAACGATAATTATAATGATATTTGTCTACTTTTTAAGCTAATACACATCTATACGGTTCATAAATTGTAAGGGAATCTCATTATTATAAATTTCTTTCTTAAAATAAAATAAAATAACCATTATAGGGTCAGAATTGGCCACCGTGGCCCCCACTTTTTGGTGTACCAGATATTTATATATATATATATTGGTAAGATATTTTTCTCACTGAATATATATATATATATATATATTTTCAGTAGTGATTGGTAGCTCTAAAAGTAGAGTTCTAAATAGAGTTTCACTGAGCTGGCAGGAAAAAAAATATATATATTTTCAGTAGTGATTGGTAGCTCTAAAAGTAGAGTTCTAAATAGAGTTTCACTGAGCTGGCAGGAAAAAAAAAAATTTAAGGCCAAAACATCATATCATAGTAAGGCCTACTACCCCTATTAAAATTATTAGAGGTCACAAATTAGAATTCCAAAATATTTTTGATATATTTTATATATGGAATCTTTGTTATAGAACTGTTATTTATTTGCTCCATAACTTTCATTTGATTAGCAACTAGTGGACATTGTCTTTTAATTATTAGCTGTATGGGAAAAAATGTGGCACACAGGTGGAAGTGACGATGAATGAAATCAATGCCTCATCTCAAACTCTCTCATTTTTTGGAAATAACAATTATAGACAGTCGGTTGAAATATTCAGCTAGGGACACTTCGTACTTAAGTTAAATCAGTAGATTATAAGTGTAAACTCTAAGCATGTTTGATATTTGAGCTAATTAGATATTACGCTACATGTCCTGCTCAACTACTGCCCAATTAGCTCGACTGAGTAGCATGACTGAGTAGAATTGCCTCTTACAATAGCCTCGCTCTAAATCTTTTTTTTAATTTTGGAATTACATAAAGAGTATGTCTAAAATAACAGTTTTTGCTATGAATATAATAATTAAATATAAAAAAAAGAACATAACATAGGCATAAATAAATAAAATTTTTAAAAACATGTTGATGGGACCCACCTTTAAAAATATTTATCTTTCATGTAGATTTTATATATGAAAAATGATCCGAACCCCGTTTCTCCTCTACCTCCTTTGACCCTTTCTCTTTCTGATTAGTCAGTTAGTTTTTTTTTTTTTTTTTTTTTTTTTTTTTCTTTTCCTCCAATCACCCCCCCCCCACCCCGCCACGGTGGTGTGAGGCGGTGATTGGAGGGGTCTCAATCACATCCCTTTATATATTCCAAACTTATTAGTGAAATAATAGGCATTAAAATCTCGTTCTTTCTTTATTATTATTTTAATTCTAAGGCGGCAAAGATGTGTTTCGGTTAGGAGGATTGAAGATTCTTGCAGGAACTATGAGGCTGACGTGGAAGAAGGTTGCAAATGGCGTACGTTAGCTGTTATTGGACAATATTGATGGCCACGTCAGCTGTCTACGTGGTGATACAAATCCGTACATTGTCAAATTAATTTAGGAGGAGGAATACAAATCAATAATGTTCATCAAAGGGCACTTGAAATTGATTTTGTTCATTTATCATCTATCAACTATCTCTATCTCCACTAATATACTAGTTTATAAGCTTGAACATTTACTTTATGAATTAAGAATTGAAAATATTCTTACATATTTTTTGTAGAGAATTTTTTGATAAACGTAATGTAACAATGATTAAAATTATCAATGCAGAAGAGCATGTATATAATTTTTCTATTTATTAATCATTATTTTATTAATTTTTTTTTATTAAGTTTATATGCATTCATGCATGAAAGAAAAGGATGTATTGCATCAATACAGTGATAATACATCATTTAGTATTAAAGTTTGGTTATCTGTGAATGGAAAGGTAAAATTGTGAATCAAAGTGATGACACATCATTTGTTATAAAAATTTATCTTATGATTTGAACTATCCATTTGAATTTTTAAGTGACACTGAACACATATTCATCATTTTCTAATTATAAAATTTTCTTAAACTGGTTTGAATCATGAATTTGGATAGAAATTTAGAAAGAAAAAAGATAAAAAGTGAAATTCATATATATGAAATACAAGTTAAATTTTTTCTCTATTCTTTTTTAAATTCCTATCTAAATTCATGATCCAAATACAGTGTTAAGAAACTAGTTTGAGTTTTTTATTTCCGACATCTTTCAAATGCTTCATTTTTTTAACTCTACACTCACACTCACTTACCCATCATTATACAAATATCACCTCCTGCACCCAAAGCCACACCACACAACTCCGACACCTTAAATAACCCTCAGCATATATCATACCTATCTACACCCACAAACAAGCAAGTATATTACCTTTATAACAATATGTAAAAACATCACAATCGTTCTCTACAGAGCATCACAGCACAACACTCACTGGAGTGGGCTAACTCACACTCTCACTGCCATAATTCTCTCAACTATGTGCACCAAGTCGCTAAATTATCATACACACCAAGCACAACTACTCGCCACACCACTACCACACAACCAAACACCTCAAACTCGCCGAATACAAAAAGTCCGACCACAATCACCCCAAACCACACAATCCCAATCTCCTCCACTCAATCTCACCCGGACACAATCGACACATTCTACTTAGATCATCTAGCAACGACATCAGTCACCAATCTAGAACACATCAGTCCAACCACCACAAAACCACCACTACACTCACTACTGCTGATCAGAAACTCCCTCTAAGCAACGAGGCGCGCAGCGCAACATCATAAGACACACAGACTCGCGCAACGACAAAAACGCAACACCAACGCCATCACACGGTATGACACCAACCATATAAACTACATCAACCACACTCGGAAGACTCCACAC